TACAGAGACATACATGTGGCAAGACATACACCATGTGAGAACTGATGTCAAGCCAAGGAACCAAGGGATGTGTGGGCAGCCAACAAGGAAGAACAGGCACAGCTGAGACCCTGATTTTTACCATTAGCCTCTGGATTCCTGCTCTTTACAGACACCCACTCATGGGATTCTGTTAAGGTTGCAGTAGATGGCCAAGACAGTATTTCATCAAGTCCTAGCAGAGAGATAAAATAAGCCTAAACTCAGAGTGTTTTTATTGTGGCTACCAGACATGTGGTAAGGCACAGACATCTTGGAGTTTGGCCAAATGGAGCAGGTGGACAACTGAGCCTGGAGGACAGTCTGCTTGCTGCCCTTAGAAAATCTCTCTCTGTGGCTGATACCATAGCAGAGATAAGTCACATACAAAAGACATAGTTATTAACGCGAATGAAAGGAGCAGCCTGACCAGTGGCCACATTGAACCAAAGTCTGGGGAGGAGTTGAGTCAGACCACAGATGAAAATGAGGTCACATGGGGAAGGGCAGGCTCAATCCGGGTGTGGAGCGCCGGGTGTGTGCCTCTTCTGGTTGAAGTCAGTAGTTAAGAAGTACAAAGCTGCATGTCCGCTTTGCCTTGTTTATTCTACGTGTTGGCATCCCCACTTGGGGAGAACTGTGTCATGGGGAGTGGCAGGCGCTACTTTCCTATGGGCTGTCTGGTAGCCTTGTGATTGGACTGACTGGTGGTTACCACTGGAGACTTGGGTGCCTCTCCTTGCATTTATTATTTGCTGCTCAGGATAGGTGGTGGTGGTATTGGCGCCAAGTCAGGACTAGCTGATGATAGCTGAAGCTCCAGCAGGTTTTCAGAGGCTATAAATCACTTATCTTTCTCCTGCGGAGCAGCTGGTGGATTTGAACCACATGCCTTTGTGTTGGGAGCACAACTCCTTAGCACCATCAATTTTTCAAAAGAAATTTAGCAAGCACTTCTGGGAAAGATCAGAGTTTAGAGTAAGTGATACCTTCTACAAAGGAGAACCTTTAGCCTGACTTGATGAAAACTGCATCTTGAACTGAAGCAGACCACTCCACATTCATTACCTTTGTTCAGAGTCCCAGTTTGCAAGCAGTAAGGAGACCCAGGACATTAAGTCAGTCTACTTGCATGGTGCTGTTAGGTACCACTGAGTCCTCTAGGTCTCAGCCACCCTGTGAACAACAGGACCTTGTCCTATCCTGTACCATCCTCACTATCTGCTCCTTGCACAAGCCCATTGCTACAGTCATGGAATCAATCCAGCTTCGTGAGGGTTGGGAGCTCTGGTGGCCTAGTGGCAAGAAGCTGTACTGCAATCCCAGCTGATTGAGGGTCTTCCTCCTTTTGGTCCTCCACTTTTTCCAGCGTGATGTCTTTTTCTAAGGACTAGCCCTTCCTGACAACATGCCCAGAGGGAGTGAGACAGAATTTCCCCATCCTTGCCTCTAGGGAGCACCCTGGTTGTCCTTCCGAGACAAATCTGTCTTGAAGGAATGTTGTTGTTGTTATGTGCGTCGAGTCGCTTGTGACTCATAGCGACCCTGTGTACAACAGCTCTAAACTCTGCTCTGTCCTGTGCCAATCTCACTGTCTCTGACACACCCATCCCTATTACCCCAGTCACCAAATCAATCCATCTCCCAGAGGGCCTTCCTATCCTGCGCCTGCGGGATATTCAATATTCATCTCCAATACAATTCAAAGACATTTTTTTTCCTTTGGTCATCCTTATTCATTGTCCAACTTTCAGATGCATACAAAGCAATTGATAATACCATGGCTTGGTTCAGATACACCTTAGTATTTACACTGACATCATTGCCCTTAGCACTTTGGATAGGTCCTTGACAGTAGGTTTTCCCAATGCAGCATGTCTTTTGATTTCTTGTCTGCTGTTACCATGGGTGTTGATTGTGGATCCAAATAAAATGAAATCATTGACAGCTTCAGACTTTCCTCCACCTATCATGATGCTGCTTATTGATCCAGTGGTGTGGCTGTTTCCTTGATGTTGAGATATAATCCATATTGAGGGCTGTAGTTCTTGATCATCAGCAGTTAATGTTTCACATCTTCTTCAGTTTCTGCAAACAAAGTTGTGTCATCTTCATAACACAGATTGTTAATGAGTCTTTCTCCAGTCCTGATGCTGCATTCTTCATATAGTCCAGCATCTAGAGTTATTTACTGAACATACAAGTTGAATAGATAAGAAGAAAGGATGTAAGTAAACTTGACACACACCTTTCTTGATTTCAAACCATGCTGTTTAAACCACGTGTCATTGTTAAGTGCCATCGTGTCAGAGCTGACTCACAGCTGACCCTCCCAGGCATTTTCAGAGGAAATTGCCCATCCACACTGAAATTCATAAAGCCAACAAAACTCTGCTAACCTGGAGAAGGATCTCCAGAAAAGACGACTTCTAAGAATGAAAGCAAACAAAGGATATTTTCAAACGGAAACTGAGATCTAAAAGAGGATGTGCATAAGTATTGTTGTAAATATGGACTATGGAATGCTGCTGTCCCAGCTACCACAGGGGACTGCGCTAAGAAACAGTGACTAGTTCTTTCACTGTTGTTGTTCTTGATATGTACGATTAAGTTACCTACACAACCCATAGTGACATAGTACAGCAGCTCTGAAGCCTCCCCTGTCCTGAGACAGTCTCACTAATTCAGACACGCCAACCCCCATCACCCCAGTTACTGTATCAATCCATCTCATCTGGGGTCCTCCCCACTGCACTGTACCTCCACCCTTCCAAGTTCCTTCTCCAAGGACTGCTCCCTCCTGGCCATGTGCCCAAAGTATGTGAGACAGAGCTTCAAAATCCTAGCCTCCAAGGAGAAACTTGGTTCCACCTTCTCCAAGACAGACTTATTTGTTTTCTTGGCAGTTCATGACTCTTCTCCAGAATCACAACTCAAAGACATCGATTCTTTTTCTGCCATTCTTAGTCATTGTCCAGCTTTCTGATGCATAGCAAGTAATTATAAAGACTATGGCCTGGATTAGGCACACCTTTGTCTCTAGACTGACATCGTTGCTTTTCAGTACTCAGGAGAAGTCCCTGACAGCAGATTTTCCCAATGCAATTCGTCTTTTGATTTCCTGACTGCTGCTGCCACGAGTGTTGTTTATGGAGCCAAGCAAGCTGTAATTGTTAGCAACATCAATCTCTTCTCCATTTTTCATGGTGCTGCCAGTTGGCCCAGTGGTGAGAATCTTTGTTTTCTTGATGTTGAGCTTCAGTCCATATTGAAGGCTGCAGCCCTTGACCTTCTGCAGCAAGCACTTCAGATCCTCATCCGTTTCAGCAAGCAAGGTGGTGTCATCTGCATAATGCAAGTTGTTGATGAATCTTTAGTCTTCCTCCAATCCTAGTAGCACATTCCTTCTCATAAAGCTCAGTTCACAATTTAGGAGGCTAGCCATACAAAACCCAGGTTCCAACTCTAGGACAAGTCTTTCCTTGTCTTTTCGTTTTGGGTGACATTTCTTGTCTCCTTAGCATCTGTAGGCCCAGCATTCCTCGGCGGTGCCCACCTGGCTTAGCCTTCACCTGTGTTGAGGAACTTCCAAGCTCAGGGCCCTGATTTCAGATGTTTCACTCTGTTCCTGATCTTCTTGCTTGGTGATACTGAGATGATCTTCTTTGCTCACTTCTTTTCTCCTTTTTAAAAAAATTTATATTAATTTGCATACAAAATTCATGTAAATTGTGTTTCATTTATATGCATTATGTTTCTTACACATTCTTCCATTCACATTGTGTTTCATATTATCATTCCCATAAATACTTTCTCCTTTTGTATCTTGTGAGATAAAAGATGTTTCAAACCACAACCCAGAGGAACATTCTTCCCACCGGGCTCTGACCTGGTAAAGGGTGGCTGATGACATCTCCGATCACGGAGTGGGAGGACCAGTACACTGTGATGTAACTGCCTCTGCTGTTGCCTCATTAACATCACAGGTCGGGATTTCCAACACTCTGCTGAGAATTATAACCGACCTCAGTTGACACATAATTTTGAGGAATTCAACTCAATATGTAACAATCATTTTGCTGGAATTTTATATTGAAATCATATACTGATCCTTTTTATGTGAGAGAGAACATTATTTTCTTGCAAAGCTGTATATTAACATTGGGATTTTGGCAGTTATGGAAATGGAGCTGTCTTAAATTCTTTGTGGAAATGATTAAAGTGGCTCTTGATTAGCCTTTAGGTTATGGTGCTGGAGAAGAGAGTTGTGGTATGGAGAAATCTATACCATGGACTGCCAAGAGAATAAACAGATTTATCCTGGAGAACCTGAAACCAGGTTTTTCCTTGGAGACAAGGATTCTGAACTCCATCTAATATACTTTGGGCACATGGCCAGGAGGGACCAGTCCTTGGAGAAGGACATCATGCCTGGAAGGGTGGAGGGACAACACAGGGAGGAAGACCCCAGAAAAGATGGATTTACTTAGTGACTGGGATAATGGGAGTAAGTATGTTGGAGACAGTGAGACTGGCTCAGGATAGAGCAGAGGTCAGAGCTGTTGTACATAGCATCGTTGTGAGTCGTAGGCAGCTCAATGGCACATAACAACAACAACATTGATGCAAGCCAACTCAGTGGTACCTTAGAGCAACAACAAAATATATTTACATATGTTGTAGTTGTATGCCATCAAATCGGAATCAACTCTTAGCTGACACTCCAGTGGGTTTTCAGATGAATAAATTGCACAGGAGGAGATTGTCCACCTTTCTCCTGCAGAACCACCATATATGGTGGGTTAAAGAGAGGGCAGATGTCTTCTAAGAAGGTGTAGGCCAGTCTCTGTGCTCTGGGAGCTCTGTCCCGGCCGGGAGAGGGTTCCGCAGGGCCAAGGCCCGAGATGTGCTGCACTTGTTTGACTGTAACTGTGTGATCCCCAAGGAATGGATACACGCATTGTGATGTTTCCTTCCTTCAGCCGGTTACAGAAGGAAGAAGAGAAAGGAAGTGCTGAGATGGAAGAGTTGATGGAGAAGCTCACAGTCCTGCAAGTACAGAAAAAGAGCCTGCTTTTAGAGAAGAACAATCTGACGGTTAAAAGCAAAGCCCTGGAAGCTGAGCTGGAAAAGGCACACAAGACAAATAGGTTTTTACTTAAGCTTACTTTTAAAATGTACTCTATAAGAAATGCAATAGTCAGTGTTATTTCTTTTATCTTTTCTTTTCCTAAGGCTGCTCCAAAAATGGAACTAGGTAATTGAGATTACCAGACAGCAAAATAAAAATATAGTAAAAACTTTTCTGTTGACCGACATTTTTCAGGTCTGCAGTTCAAAGATTACTGATAATCATGGTGATGACCCTAAGATTATAAACTCCAAAGTGTCCTCCTAACCATTTCGCCAAAATTTGACTTTTAATTAGTATCTTTTAGATTATGAGCCAGAGAAAAGAATAATAGAGTGATGTATTATTAGCCTATTAACTAGTTAACCAGATCGGATCCATATTGACTTGCTTTGGAGTCAGTAAAATGAATTTTTTTGGGTAAAATGAAATTCAGTGCCCTTCAGGAGACTTGAGATGCTGAAGAATAGCATTTAAATACTTGGCAGTTCTATAACACAGTGTTTCGTGTCCTAGCTATTCACACTAATGAGAGTTAATCCCACTTTTTGGGGGAACGCACTAGGAGATCTCAGAAGAAAATTGATGTCCTCAAAAAGCAGGTGGAACAGGCCATGGAGAATGAGATCTTTGCTCACCAGTACCTGGCCACGCTTGTTGGACTGGCAGAGAATGTAACCCAGGAGCGTGACAATCTCATGTACTTGGTAAGTTTTCTCAGAGTTACTGCAAGCTGATGGGCAGACATTAGCATTTTAAGACTCATAAAAAATTGGTAAGTAGAAGTACCATCCTTTTAGATTTCAACTACAGATTGCCAGCTTCTTCAAAATTTTAATCATGGGGGAAAACCAGTTTCTGTATAGTAAATAATTGAAGCTTTTACATAATGGCAGCTGTCTTTTGAAAGATAATATAATGGAATTCGTTTCTTTGACTAAATTATAGTAGTCATCAAAGCATGTGTTATGCCGACAAACACACTTAAGTTATTCCTAGGGAGCTCTACTATTTTCTTTGTTTGAAAATAAAAAATTATATGTATTCTCTATCTGTATGTTAGTCTAATTTATTCCATTCCACGTGGCACCCCCCAAGACACATTGCCCATCGTGTTTGGTATGGAGAAAGGCATTATGCATTAAAGCATTTCAGACCCAGTTCCTTTTCACTTTGTAATCATCCAGATTAATTAAGCTAAATAAGTTTATTTGCATCTTGCCACTTACTTCTTGGATGTGACTGAAGGAATTTTTGATCCCATGGCAATGAGATTTGTTGTGGAAGCCTCGGCTGACTTTCCCCTTTCCCTTGTCCATGGGTCTGGCTCCTCCATTTGTGTCAGGACACCCTGGCACTGTTCTCGGCTCTTCCTCAGCTGTAGACATGACTCTCTCACATGCAGTCACGTGGGTGGGGACAGTAGGTCAAAGCAGGTTGGATGGTGGAGATAATATATGGGTAGTAATACTCTTTGAAGAATAATTCTATCCAATAAAATGAAGAGTGCATCCCCCCCCATACCCTTTTTGTGTTTCTGCTTAGGCTAAATGCTTAGAAAATGAGAAGAATGGTGTTCTCAACAAAATAATAGAAGACAATATTCGCCTGGGAAAACTGGAGGAAAAAGTGAAGGTAAGTTATCATTCTTTAGCCTCAGAGATTCCATTTTTAAGTAGAAATGAAGTCCTGTCAGGTATCAATTTCTGCCTTTAAGGAACTGGCACCTTTTACATAAGGGTATTTCTAATCATTCTGTGGAACAAAACAGGAGAAGGTTTCACTGGCAGAAACCACACCTCTTGTCTCATTTAATGAACTCAAAGTAATCCTCACAAATAAATGTCATAACTGCTGTAAATACTATAGGTTTTTACCTATAAAATAGAAGTATTTGACTGTTAAATTAATAAATGTATTTACCTGAGGTAAATTCATTAGTATTATCTATACAGAAGAACCTCCAAGCTATATTGTCAAGTGCAGAATTTGTTCAGAAGAGAACAGCACAGACCTCCTTGCTTGGCTTCCTATCAGCTTCCCTCTCCAGCTTCCCTTCCCATTCTTCCTGTGGACTGCAGACCCCCACCTGCATCTACAGCCTCTTGGTCAGAGGGCTTTGTGTTGAGGTAGGAGCCAGAAGTGAAGCTGCAGGTCTCAGCAAAGGGAGGAGATCCTGAAGGCTTTTCAAAGAAGTGCTGTGCAAACCTAAATGAAGGCCGTCCAATAACAGAGATAAACACGACCCAGGCCTTCTGGACACAAGTGCATGTGTATAGAAAATGAATTAAAAAGGCCTGACAGTGGAGAAATAGATTGATGGCATTTAATATGAGAGTGTTAAACAGAAAAAGAAAGACCACATTAATTGTGTGTAAATACTTGTGTGTTTGGGCATGTTGCTTGGAGTGGTTTTTCCTCAGAATGGGACATCATGCTTGGAAAAGTCAACGAAAGAGAGGAAGACCCTCAACAAGATGAATTGACACAGTGACTGCAGCAACGTGCATCGGAGGTGGTGAGGATGGCACGGGATAGGACGACGTTCAGGTCCGCTCTTCGTAAGGTCGCTGATTGTACTCAACCTGATACACACACCCACACACGCACAGAGGATGCTGGAGCTGGAGCAGCAGCGTGCCTCTGCAGAGGAGCTTAGAAGAGCTGACCACAAGAAAATCGGAAGAAATTCCTGAAGTAGAAATCCTGCAAACATTTGTTGACAACATCTGTGAAAAACAAATTTGTTTCTCACAATCAGAAATGAAAAAGACTTGAAATCTTCCCATTTAAACAATCCTCAGGGGAATAGAGGACTGAAGTTCAAGACGCCTACAGACCGTGAGGAACTCTCAGGAGAATCTGTGTGAAAATAATCTTAAAAATGCTGAGGGAAATGAGCAACCTGAAATATTTACATTGACAAGAAGTAAACGAAGGTAAAAAAATGAATTAAACTTTGGTCTCATACCCCTGTGTGCTTTGAGGGATGACAGACTTTGCTGGGCTTTAATAAAGGCTTCTCTGGTAAGTTTAAAACATTGCTGACAGGTGTCAACATTAGCTCACAGGTTGGTCCCCAGGAAGTCAGTGTGGCCTCCAGGAGGTGGCCGTGGCTCCAGGCATCACTTCTCAGTGAATTAAAAACTATACTTAAAAAAAAAAATTACCAGCTTCCAAGAGCAGCTTCATTACCAAAAACAATCGTTTGTTCTGTGATGGCTGTAGTTTACTGTTTTGTCTCGTTCAGAACATAACAAAAAAAAACAACAGCCATGGAACAGATTAGAAACTGAGTATTTGCATACTAAAATTATCACTTGCTGATTTTCATCATCCATAATTGTCCTCCTGGATGAGACTGAGGGAGCTCTAGACTTGATGGGCTCCAACAGGCCACACGTGAGGGAAAACTGATCGAAGCGCAGCTGCCACCACGTTAATTCCAGCTCGTGGAGAGCTTGTGGTCAGAGCAGAGCTGGTTACAGGATGTTCAAAGCTGTGACGTTTGGCAAGCGATGGTCAGGCCCTTCTTCTGAATGCTTTGTCTTTGGCACCACCCCAGAACTCTGGGCTGTGGGTCGAGAATGCACTTGGAAGGCAGTGTTTGTGTAGCTGTGTTTGGGGGCGTCATCAGCCCTGCCACAGGCAGCATCCCCGCGCTCACTCGGTGCCTCTTCCCACAGGGCTACAAGAAGCAGGCGGCACTGAAGCTGGGTAACATCAGCCACCGTCTGAAGGAGCAGCAGGAAGACTTCGCTGGCAAGACCGCGCAGTACAAGTGGGAGATGAGACACCTCCACAAGATGCTGCAGGACAAGCAGGAAGTCCTGGACCAGGCGCTGCAGCAGAAGAGGTAGAACTGTAGCTCAGGGGCGTGCAGCGTTCACTTCACAGCCCTTCCAGCCCTAGTCTTCCTCCTCGGGATGTATTGAATATCCCGTGGACCACCAAACAAAAGAACAAACAAATCTGCCCTGAAAGCATGGAAAGGTGCTCCTTAGAGGCAAGGCTGGTGAAAAATAGTCTCATGGACTTTGGTCATGTTGTCAAGAGAGGCCAACCTTAGAAAAAGACATTCTGGCCTCCGTGCCTGTGTCTGTGGACCTATTTGCGAATGAGTTGTTCATTATGTTAATGAGGTAGGATTGTAGCTATTGCTCGGGACCTCTCTAGAGTGCTAAAGAGCAACAATGTTAGTCTAGAGACTAAAGTGTGCCTGATCCAGGCTACGGTTTTCTCAGTTGTTTGCTGTGCATCTGAGAGCTAGACAATGACTATGATGACAGAAGAAGAATTGATCCCTTTGAATTATGCTGGAGAAGAGTATTGAACTTACCATGGACTGCCAAGAGAACAGAGAGGTCTGTCCTGGAGAGGGTGAAACCAGTCAACTTCTGGGAGGCAAAGATTTTGAAACTCTGTCTCACATTCTTTGATCATAGTGCCAGGAGGGCCCAGTCCTTGGAGAAGGGCATCATGCTTGGAAGGGTAGAGGGTCTGTTCACTAGAGGAAGACCCTGGATAAGATGGATTGACACAGTAACTGTGGCAGTGGGGTCAGCTGTGTCAGAGATGATGAAGTTGGCTCAGGATAGGACAAGGTTCAGAGACATTGTTCACAGCGTCACAATGAGTCGTAGTCGACTCAACAGTATTTACCAATAAGCGACCAAGTGACCACAAAACCTTGCCTCGCTGCCAACCTCACCATGCTCAGGCCCATTGTTACAGCTGCCGTGTCAGTCCAGCTGGTTATGGTCTTCCTCTCTTTCCCTGACTGCACTTTCCCCGCACGATGCCTTTCCAAGAACTGGCCCCTTCCTGGCAACTCCGTCAAGGTGTGTGAGATGACGTTTCACCATCCTTGTCTCTAAAGACCACCCGGGTTGCATATCCTTCAGGACAGATTTGTTTGTTCTTTTAGAAGCGTATGGAATATTCAGTTCTCCTCACCCACATCACAATTCAGAGGCAGTTCTGTCTTCCGTATTCATTGCCCAACTCCCGCATGTATATGAAGAGGGAGGATTAGGGTGGGACCTGTTTTGAATCCTGGCCATAAGGCCCGGCGTAAGGCTACAACCTTAGTTTCCTTGAAGACATGATCTGAAGCCGATATATAGGAATACTTTGACCAAGAGTTCACCATCTTTTGCCCTGGATTCTTCATCTGGCTAGGTTTAGTCTGTTCGCTGGGATTTGAGCTGGTGGTTTACTGTCTGAGCTAATTCAGCCGTTTCTCAAACCACCACCTTTCTAAGCAGGCCATCTGTTTATCAGCTCCTGTAGCCACATGGGTTGTGAGAGCCCGAAAACAACAAACACTGGTGAGGGTGTGGAGAGACAGAACTCTCATAGCTGCCGGGGGTGTAAGATGGTGCAACCAGGGTGAAAAGCTGTTTGATGCTTCCTTAAATAGGTGGAAGTAACAATAGTATTTGAACCAGCAGTCCCACTACTAGATATAATAACTATTAAAAAAATGAACTGCCACACTAACAGACATATACACATCCATGTCCATAGAAACATTATTTATAATGGCAAATAGATAAAAACTATGCAGGTGCCTAACTATGATTGTGGTTGTTGCTATGGGCTGTTGAGTCACCTGCAACTCATAGCGATCCTATGTACAACAGCCCTAAACCCTGCTCTATCCTGTGCCAATTGTACTGTCTCTAACACACCTACCCTGATTATCCCAGTCACTGAAGCATTATGTCCCTCTCCAAGGACTGGTCCCTCTTGCAGTATGTCCAAAGTATGTCAGACGAAGCTTCAGAATCTTTGCCTCTGAGGAGCACCCTGATTTAACCCTCTCCAGGATGAACCTGTTCATTTCCTTATCATTCTATGGTATATTCTCTTCTCCAGCACCACAGCTCAAAGGCATCAATTCTCCTCCTATCCTCCCTAGTCATTGTCCAACTCTCTGATGCATAACAAGTGATTACAAAGACTGTGGTCTGTATCAGGCACACCTTAGTCTCCAGAGTGACACCATTGCTCTTCAGTACTTTGGAGAGGTCCCTAACAGCAGACTTTCCCATTGCAATATGTCTTTTAATTTCCTGGCTACTGGTGCCAAGAGTGTTGAGTGTGGAGCTAAGTAAACTAAAGCTGTAAACGAACTCAATCTCCTCACCATCCATCCTGATGCTGCCAATTGGTCCAGTGGTGAGAATCTTTGTCTTCTTGATATTAAGCCTCAATGCATATTGCAGGCTGCAGTCCTTGACACTCTGCAGCAGGTACTTCAGGTCCTCCTCAGTTTCAGTAAGCAGGGTTGTGTCATCTGCATAACGCAGATTGTTGATGAATCTTCTACCAATTCCGATGACACACTTCTCCTCATAGAGCCCAGCCTCCCGGATAATCTGTTCTGCATACAGGTTGAAAAGGTATGGAGATAGGACACATCCATGGCATACACCCTTCTCAATTTTGAACCATGCAGTGTTCAAAACTATTGTATAGTCACATAATAGAGTATTATACAACACTGAAGAATGATCAAGAATTCCAGAAACGCTCTACAGCATAGTTGAATCTAGAGGACATATGTCGAGTGAAATACATCAGTCAGAAAAGGACAAGTATTGTGTAAAAACACTATTATAATAAGCTAAAGAAAGGCTTACACAGACAGAATCACTCTTGAATGGCTACCAGAGATGAGACAGAAAGAGAAATGAAAATTAGTAAATAGATAATAATGTTGTTGTTAGGCATTGTCGAGTTGACCACAACTCATAGTAAGTCTGTGAACCACAGGTTGAAATATTTCCTGTGCTACCCTCACTCTTTCTAGATTATAGATACATGAAGATGGGTGAAGAGAAAGGCAGTATACAATAAAGGGGTGATCAGCATAATATCACTAAAGAAAGGGGAGACACAGAGATAGCTCTCTACTCCATCCTACTCCTATTAACAGTTCAGAAAAGAGACCCGGGACTTTTCTTCCTGAGCTCAGTGTCCTCTGGGTGACCCCTGGGCCTGCACCTCATTTGGTTACTAACGTTTTCCGGAGTCCTCTGCAGTGTCTGTGAAGGTGCTGGTCTCCCCTCCCCAACCCCCTGGAAAAGATCTGCTCCTTCTCTTTGCCCCATTCTCCAGTGGAGCTATCTGTACCGTGAGGTGGGTGCTGGTGTCTGGGACCCACAGACTATGGCCCTGTGAGGCATGGAGGCTCTGGCTGCCTGATTCCCCCGTGGCCCAGTGCTCGCTCCCTGAAATCCTCTGGAAATACCACTCGGCTGCCCTTGGTGTTTCTTATGAGTGTTGGCTCCCTGTGGGCCTCACCATCTGGGGCCTCACCCTCCAGTACGGGGTCTCTTTGTTTTGCCTCCTGACTCACGTCGTATGTCTGCACCCATCAGCCTAATATGAGTCCAGCCCCATTGCATCAGTAAAGCTCCAACTCTCATGTAAGTGCCTGTAGCACAAGCTTCACGTGATCTTCCTTGCCCCAGTCCTCCTCAACTGTGGTGTATTCTGTGTGTGTTGCTGGGGTCTTGTTTTGAAGGGGTCACCTATGAAAAGTCACAGAGTGTTGGAGGGCACACCCACACAAAGGGGACATGCCTGCAGCACCCATGCTGGTGGCACCACAGCCAGGCCACTAGACTAAAGCCACTGTCCTGTTATTATACATTTATTCATTTTGTATTTCTTTATAACTTGTAGAATAATATACGATGAATAACATAGAACAAATTATAAAATTAATATTCTAGTTTTCTAATATATTACTACTAATGAAATTATATTAAAGTTCTAACAATATAATTAACATTTTCTATTTGTAGTAATGTAATTGTATAATAAAATTATTATAGTAGTAATTTTAATTTTTATTATGCATTTTATAATGTATCATGAGTAAGAAATAGTAGTGGTGCTATATGCCACTGAGTCACCTGCAATCTGTAGTGACCCTAAGTACAATAGCTTTGAAGCCTGACCTGAGCCAATCTCACCGACTCGGACACACTTACACCATTGCCTCAGTAACTGTATCAATTCCTCTAACCTGGGTTCTTCCTTTCCTGCGCTGTCACTCCACCCTTCCAAGCATGATGTCCTTCTCCAAGGACCGGCCTCTCCTAGCCATGTGTCCAAAATATGTGAGACGGAGCTTCAAAATCCTAGCCTCTAAGGAGAAACTTCGGTTTCAACTTCTCTAAGACAGACTTACTTGTGTTCTTGATGATTCGTGGTATGTTCAAGACTCTTCTCCAGCACCACAACTCAAAGGCACTGATTCTTCTGTCATTCTTAGTCAAGAAATAGTGATAGATATTAAAAAAAAAGAAATAGTAGTATAATTAAGATTATCAATTACTTGTCTAATTATATAATAAGTTATATGATTATTCTAGAAATCTATTTATTAATTTTTCTATTTTAAAAATTATTAATCAATATTGTATTGTATTTATTATTAGATATGAAGTAGTATTTTATTAGTACAAAATAATAAGAGAACAAAGAATATGAATGTTCTCACTCTAATAAGGAAGGCGGCAGGGCCTGGAAAGAAGAGGCGAAAGCATTTCCTCCTGTGCCTTCGTCTTCTCTTCCTGTGCCAGGAGAACCTTGGTTCCGTTTGACCTCGGAAGTTTTGCCTTCAGAACCCAAGCCCAGTGAACTCTGTCTATTTAAGCCTTCCTTCATTTTTCTTGCTGTTTTAGGACTCTAACTCTGTTAATTTTTTTTTTTTAACTGTGCTCTTTCAAACGTCTCCTTTGCTTTGTTTCTGTCAGAGAGGTGGAAGGGGAGCTGGAAATTGTCTGGGAGTCCACCTCCAAGGAGAACCGAAGGATCCGGGAGCTCCTGCAGGCTACGCTGGAGAGGAGAGGCCTGGGGGAGTTCGGTGGAGCAGGCGAGGACCCGGGCAGGGACGCTGCCGCCCAGGGGGACCTGCCAGATGGCCACAACTTCAGCTACTGTGACTTGAAGCCACCCCCGCATGTCCAGCAGGGTCTGCAGGAGCTGCTGAGCTAGGTCCCTGGGAACAGGAAAGGACCAGTTCTCCCAGGAGCAGGGCGGGCAATGCTGCCCGCCCAGGACGAGGCCGTGTTGTACAAAGGGAGAAGGCAGAATCCACCCAGGGCTGCAGTGCCCACCCCGCAGAACCAAGGAGGAAATAAAGGATCATGTGCATTTCTCACATTTTTGCTTGCTTTTTAAATCTGCTGCTGGAATTCCTTCTCGCTGATATTCATCCTCTGGCCTCCTTGCCGCCGACGCCTGTGAGACCCATTTCTCAGCTTCACAGGTGGCCTCTCAGCCTGTGGTTATGCGGTTCCACCTACAAACCCTGGAGGGGACAGATGAAGGGGTTGCTTGGTTGTGAGAAGAGAATATTTAGCCAGATGAGCACTCTTCTATCAAAGCAGCAGGAATTCTGTGTGCATTAGCTCCAAGTTTTCTTGTTCCATTACACATTCTCCATTGCAAACCTGTTCTGTCCCCCTTCTGAGCCCTTTTCTACCCTCCTGAGGGCTATTTGTCCTGAGACCAGGTTGCATCCCCCTTCACCCTCAGAGCCCTGCCTATGGCACCAGGTAGGACCCAACTCCACTAGTACCACTGAGAAGGGTGCCAGGGGCTATGGTTCTGCCCTCCTCAGGGTCCATTATTTCAGCCTCTCAGGACCATCCCCTGGGATTCCTTGATAGTAACATCAACACTGGTGAGTGTGGGGCAGCGGGTCACATGGACTGATGGGGACAGTCCCGGCGCACAGCAGAGAGCAGAGCACACGGACAGAGAGCAGGCCACAGGCACCAGCATCTTCTCAGGCGTGGGACTCAGCGCTAGCTTTGACTCTTGCCTAGTGGGTAGGAAGGTGCGCTGCCAACCCAAAAGCAGGCAGTTTGAATCCTCCAGCTTCTCTGAGGGAGAAAGACAGACAACGTTCTTCTGTGTGAAAACCTGCTTGAGAGTCAGCTCTGAATCATTGTAGAACCACAGTGTTAGAGTTACCTGGGGTGGTGCCACCTCTCTGGTGGTTGGGATCCACCAGCTGCTCTGCAGGTAAAAGACGGGCAGGCTTTTCTTCCGTGTGATTTACAGCCTTTGAAAACCCTCTGGAGGGTCAGCTGTGAGTCAGTTCCCAGTCAATGGCAATAAGGTCAAGTTTCCACATGTATAAAAGTTACACCTATAATCTTTAATGTCTGGGTGGAAATTTGAGAGAAAAATCACATGCTACTTAACTTACTCAACATTTAAAAAAAATTCTAATTTCAATTCATTCTACAAGAGCCACAATGGCTCCCCAGAATACACCGACTGCATCATCTCCATACGAGATGATCTGTTGTTGTTGTTGTTATGTGCTGTCGAGTCGCCTGCGACTCACAGCGACCCTATGTACAACAGCCCTAAACTCCGCTCTGTCCTGTGCCAATCGCACTGTCTCTGACACTCCCATCCCAATTATCCCAGTCACTGAATCAATCCACCTCATAGAGGGTCTTCCTCTCCTGCGCTGTCCCTCCACCCTCCCAAGCATGATGTCCCTCTCCAAGGACTGGTCTCTCCTCACAACATGTCCAAAGTATGTTAGACGGAGCCTCAGAATCCTTGCCTCCAAGGAGTCGCCCGGTTTAACCCTTTCCAGGATGAGTCTGTTTGTTTTCCTAGCAGTCCATGGTATTCTCAATACTCTTCTCCAGCACCATAGCTCAAAGGCATCAATTCTCCTCCTGTCCTCCTTGGTCATTGTCCAACTCTCATGCATAACAGGTGATTGCGAAGATCATGGCCTGTATCAGACGCACCTTAGTCTCCAAAGTGATACCATTGCTCTTCAGCACTTTGGAGAGGTCCCTAACAGCAGACTTTCCCATGGCAATGCGCCTTTTAATTTCCTGGCTGCTGGTGCCAAGACTGTTGACTATAGAGCCAAGCAAACTAAAGCTGTGTACAATCTCAATCTCTTCACCATCCATCCTGATGCTGCCAATTGGTCCAGTGGTGAGAATCTTTCTCTTCTTGACATTGAGCCTCAATCCATATTGTAGGCTGCAGTCCTTGACCCTCTGACCCTCTGCAGCAGGCGCTTCAGGTCCTCCTCAGTTTCAGCAAGCAGGGTTGTGTCATCTGCATAACGCAGATTGTTGATAAATCGTCCACCAATCTTGACCCCACATTTCTCCTCATGGAGCCCAGCCTCCCAGATAATCTGTTCTGCATATAGGTTGAAAAGGTATGGAGATAGGATGCATCCCTGGCGTACGCCCTTCCCAATTTTGAACCATGCAGTGTTCCCTTGCTCTGTTCTGACGACTGCCTCCTGGTCCAAGTATAAGTTTTGCATTAGAACGATCAAGTGTTCTGGGATTCCCATTCAAGATAGCCTAGGAAATAGTAATTATTACTTCAAGGCTATTGATATTAACTGATGTCAGTCTAGAGACTGAAGTGCACCTGATCCAGGCCATGGTCTTTGCAATTACTTGCTATGCATCAAGAGCTGGACAATGACTAAAGGTGACAGAAGAAGAATAATTGGCTTTGAGTTGTGATTCTGGAGAAGAGTCTTGAACATACCATGGATCGTCAAGAAAACAAATCTGTCTTGGAGAGGTGAAACCAAGTTTCTCCTTGGAGGCTAGGATTTTGAAGCTCTATCTCACATACTTTGGACATGTGGCCAAGAGGAACCAGTCCTTGGAGAAGGACATCATGCTTGAAAGGGTGGAGGGACAGTGCAGGAGAGGAAGACCAGGGATGAGATGGATTGATACGGAAACTGGCGATGGGCGTTGGTGTGTTGGAGTCTGAGAGACGGGCTCAGGACAGGGCAGGATTCAGAGCTGTTGCACATGGGGTCGCTATGAGTCACAGGTGACTCAATAGCACATAACTACAGTAGTCTGAGCCAAGCATAAAGGCGCAGCTTTACAGAGCTTCACCCCTCACGGCCCTCTGTGTCTGTCGGGGGAAACATTGCTGGTGTCCTTAAAATGCCCTTATTAGCTGCCTTCATGTTGACACCAACCCATGGCAGCAGATTGTGTACGGCCGTAGCTGACACCACCTTCAGTGTCTCCCGCATGCTCAAGTCCTCACCAATGCAGCTGTTGTATCATCCCACCCAGAACCACTTCACTCTTGACTGGTCCTTCGGTTCACCAACCATGATGTCCTGATCCCTCCATTTGTCCTCCTGACATTGTGTCCAACATAAGCAAGTCGGAGCTGACCGATAGCCGACCTTCCAGTGCATTTCTGAAGCTGTAAATCGCACAAGAGAAGAGATGATGTCCCTCTCTAAGGACCTGTCTCTCCTTACAACATGTCCAAAGTATGTTAGACGGAGCCTCAGAATCCTTGCCTCCAAGGAGCAGCCTGGTTTGACCCTTTCCAAGATGAATCTGTTTGTTTTCTTGGCAGTCCATGGTACCCTCAATACTCTTCTCCAGCACCACAGCTCAAAGGCCATCAATTCTCCTTCTGTCCTCCCTAGTCATTGTCGAACTCTCTGATGCATAACAAGTGATAGCAGAGGCCATGCACCTTAGTCTCCAAAGAGACACCACTGCTCTTCAGTACTTTGGAGAGGTCCCTAACTGCAGACTTTCCCATGACAATACGTCTTCTAATTTCCTGGCTGCTGGTGCCAAGAGTGTTAACCGTGGAGCTAAGCAAACTGAAGCTGTGAGCAATCTTGATCTCTTCACCATCCATCCTGATGCTGTCAATTGGCCCAGTGGTGAGAATCTTTGTCTCCTTGACATTGAGCCTCAATCTATATTGGAGGCTGCAGTCCTTGACCCTCTGCAGCAAGTGCTTCAGGTCCTCCTCAGTTTCAG